ATTGGTGGCGGTCGACCGACACAGTCGACCGAAGATGGTAGCGGTCGACCGACGCGGTCGACCGCCGAACTCTCTGGAATTTGGATCAGCCGCTGGATGGAGGGCGGTCGACCGGGCCGGTCGACCGCGATGGATCGCGGTCGACCGCACCGGTCGACCGCCGCTACGGTTTTGAGTTGGGCCTGTTTTCAGACCCGCTTCGTTTTGGATTTGTATAAATACCCTTTGGGTGTTTTTTAGGGTTAAGTGCAAGGACAAATTTGAGCAGATTGAGAGAGTTTTCTTTGGGCTTCTTCTCTAGGAACAATTGGAGAGATTGAGAGTTGATAGTTGAGGGTTTATGAGAGATTTGTAACCCTAGTTTGATCCTCTTGATTTCTAATAGTGAAAACTCCCCCCTCCTTGCCCCGTGGACGTAGGCAACTTGCCGAACCACGTAAAATCTGGTGTTTGATTGTTTGTGCTGTTGATTTTGGTTGGTTGTTTATCTTTCTCGGCGATTGTTTTGGTTTCTCGAGGCGCAACAATTGGTATCAGAGCTCCGGGCTATGCTTGGGCTATTTTGGAGGAGTAGATCGCTTTGGAAGTTCATCTAGGGCTTCGTTTGGTGATAAAGGTGGGATCTTTTCAGTAAAAATCTCGTCTTTTTCTATTTGGATCTATTTCTCGTTTGTTTCCGTATTGGTTTGGTGGTGCTTTGAGATATATGGCTGAAAAAGATAAAAGTGGGGAGGGTTCTTCTGGTGTGAAGGCCGTCCAAACTTTGAATATACATTCTATGAAAATAGATGTGGAAAAGTTCAACGGCACAAATAATTTTGGACTTTGGCGATGCGAAGTCATGGATGCGCTAAATGCGCAAAATTTGGAAGATACATTGGAGTTGGACGGGAAACCGGCCGACATTGATGAAAAGGTTTGGAATAAAATGAATAGAACGGCGTGTGGTGTGATTAGGTCTTGCCTTACCCAAGACCTTAAATATGATGTGATGAATGAAACTTCGGCAAAGAAGATTTGGGAGGTCCTAGAGGGCAAATATTTGACGAAGAGCATCGAAAATCGTTTGCATTTGAAGAGGAGGCTTTATCACTTCCAATTGAAGAAGGGGACATTCATTAGTGATCACATGAACCACTACACGAAGCTACTTACAGATTTGGCGAATGTAGATGTCATTGTTGAAGACGAGGACAAGGCATTGTTGTTATTGAGTTCCTTTCCCAACGAGGAATATGAGACATTGGTCCTCACTCTTATTAATGGGAAGGCATCTCTTTCGTATAGTGAGGTCACAGCAGCCCTTATGAACTATCAACTTCGAAAGAAGGACAATGAGACTTCCATCGAGCCGGTTGCAGGTGCATTGGTTGCAAGAGCTAGAAGTACAAACCGTGGAAGAAAGTCGCAGTATAGAGGGGGGCATCCTGTAGTTGGTAGGAATCAGTGTGCCTTTTGTAGAGAGGATGGACATTGGAAAGCCGAATGCCCAAAATTGCAAGCTGTGAAGAATAAAGGGAAAGCTACTCAAGCTTCAGAGGTGAATATTGTCAAGGCTAGTGGCGATGTTTCAGATTCAGATTCTTCAGGCTATTCGTGCCCAGCTCTTCCGTCAGTTGATGTTGCCGACTCCACCGAGTGGATATTGGATTCTGGTGCTACTTACCACATATGTCCTAGAAGGGGTTGGTTCTCCAGCTTTCAGGAGTTGGAAAGAGGGGATGCTGTTCTCATGGGTAATGATCACAGATGCCCTATTGGTGGTATTGGTACCGTTCGGATTCGGATGAGTGACGAGATGATCCGGGAGTTGGCTGATGTGAGGTTCGTTCCTCAACTGAGGAAGAACATCATTTCACTTGGGGTATTGGAGGCATCAGGCTATAGGGTGACCTTGACGGATTCTCGCTTGAAGGTCACATCGGGGTCCATAATTGTGATGAAGGGAGTCAGGCGGAGTAACTTGTATTATCTACTTGGGAGCACGGTAGTTGATAGGGCGCTGACTACTTCTATGGCTAGACTGTGGCATTATTTGGTGCTGGGATATATTATTGGTTATACCGTGCACAGATTGTTGAGGAGTGCTATGACCTGCAGATTGAAGTCCTGTGAGCACATTGGTATGAGCCAGGCATTTGGGGGCTTTCCGAGGAGGCATCATCGGGAGGTAATCGTTATTTTGTTTCCTATGTTGGGGATTGTACTAGGCATATTTGGGTTGCAACCAAGTCCCGTTGGTATAAAGCCCTAGTAGTCCATAACAGTTGGAGGAGGTGTATGGGCAGAAAGGTTACCAGTCGTACTTATTCTAGTAGGAGTCCTTTCTTGCATTGGTGCCGAGCTCACAGCAGTTGGAGACACTTCAGAGGGAAGGAGACAGTGGGGCGACGTGATGAGATGGCGGATTTAGTGGGCCGTTCTTTTCTGGAGGAGGATCGGTATTGGTTGTCGAGCAGTGGATCTGGTATTCAGGCTTCGACAGGTTTGGGTCATCTTATGAGGTTGCCGACTGCTGCGTATAGAGTTGTTAGATCTGGTGGAGCTGTTTCAGATTTTGGTCGGCGTTGGATATTTGGCTACCTAGCACTTGGTCACATCGTTGATGTGAGGTTGGATCCGATTGCGCAGTTGGGATTCAGGAGTTCATTTGGCTATCAGTTAGGAGCTTCTGAGTTTGGTCTGAGCAGGTTTGTCACTTTGGACTCTCGGCAGGTGGAGAGTATTGATGTAGGCTGTCTAAAAATCACAATAGATAGTTGATCCCCCATCAAACACCGATGATGGAAGTTACAACTTGACGACTTCCAGAAGGCTACAATTTGAGGACTTTCACGTAGAAGGCTACAATCGCATTGGTTGGGATTCCAGCTGAGGTGGCACAGCGTGGGAGTCATTTATTTATGGGTGCAGATGATGAGGTAGTTGATTTGGATGCAGCTGGTGGATATGTTTTGGATACGGCCATTGTTACATCTCAGGTGGAGGTGTTGGACTGTTTTCAGATTGGGGTCGTTGATGATGCTATCAGCCGCAAGTTGGATTGAGGGCCTTTGGAGGCCCATATGGTGAACTACGTGAAGGCTTGATTCATTGGGCAAGAGGATACGTAGGCAGTCTTTATGATGCAGCCGATTTGGTGAGCGACATCGACATTTGGGGATGCCGTGGCGTACTGGGTGCAACAGTTGAGGTATTGGTTTGATCGGTGTCGGCTCAGTTTGGTAGAATCTTCGTCGAGGTGGAGATTTGAAGAGATGGTGCTCAGGATCAGGTTTTCAGGCAAACAGGTTGGCGGTCGACCGGTGCGGTCGACCGCATTCGTGCACAGGAGTTTCTGGGCATCAGGATTGGTGGCGGTCGACCGACACAGTCGACCGAAGATGGTAGCGGTCGACCGACGCGGTCGACCGCCGAACTCTCTGGATCTTTGGGCTCGCTGCTGGATGGAGGGCGGTCGACCGACCCGGTCGACCGCGATGGATCGCGGTCGACCGCACCGGTCGACCGCCGCTGCGGTTTTGAGTTGGGCCTGTTTTCAGACCCGCTTCGTTTTGGATTTGTATAAATACCCTTTGGGTGTTTTTTAGGGTTAAGTGCAAGGACGAATTTGAGCTGATTGAGAGAGTTTTCTTTGGGCTTCTTCTCTAGGAGCAATTGGAGAGATTGAGAGTTGATAGTTGAGGGTTTATGAGAGATTTGTAACCCTAGTTTGATCCTCTTGATTTCTAATAGTGAAAACTCCCCCCTCCTTGCCCCGTGGACGTAGGCAACTTGCCGAACCACGTAAAATCTGGTGTTTGATTGTTTGTGCTGTTGATTTTGGTTGGTTGTTTATCTTTCACGGCGATTGTTTTGGTTTCTCGAGGCGCAACAATGGGAGCCCCATGGCCTTGGGTGAGGCATGAGTTATTTGGGTTCATCATTACTAAATATGATATGATACAATTAGAAGAGATAAAAAAAACCAAAGGGGCAAAAAGGGAAATGATCACATGAACAATATTTGATGAAATTTGGTCTGGGCTCCCTAAAATATCATTGGGTCCAAAACAAATTTTAGATGTTAAAATTGAAGATAAATTGAACAATATGAATGACAAATCCGGAAGAAAAAGAAAAAAAATCATCTAGCTTTTAAACAACGTTTTTTATTGGCTCATTCTATTTTGAATTCCAAATTCTCAAAATTTTCTATTGTTCTTTGCCGATTCTTCCCCATGCAAGCGTTCCCAAATCGTTGCAGGTGAGTGATGAATTCACCTCAAGATCTTCGATTGCTTCTTCAAACTATGGTGGAGCTAGTAGAATTTGAAAGTAGGGTATTTCCTTCGCCAAGTTCACAAAATTTGGCGCAATCCCTCCCCAAGTTACACTTTCCAAATTGAAATTATAGCAAGCCCCATCTAACTTCTCAAATTGAGGCACGCTTAAGTTTTTTAAACAGTAACGTAACAAAAATTGAGGGATTGGGGTTTTGGGGTATTTTTTTTAATCCTTGGTGGGATTAAATAAACCAAGGGCAATTTTGTCTTTTGCATGGGTTTTTAAATGACCTTACTGGGTTTCCAATGGCTGAAACAACATGATATATTTTTGTCGCAAATTACAACTCATGATATTTAGATGCTGACATAATGGAAACGTTGCGTTATTTATAGAGAGACGCTACGAGCACATTCTAAGGCACACCACCAACCACACACCCTCTCTCTCCACAGTGCAGGGTGCCCCACATGTGATTTTTTAAAAAAATCACATGTGGGGCCCCTGCACTGTGGAGAGAGAGGGAGTGTGGTTGATGGTGTGCCTTAGAGTGTGCCTCTATCATTTCTTTTATTTATATGCAATTTAGTCAATAAAAATTGGGCTGCACGTCACGAAATAGTGCTATGCTACATGTATTCTCAGGACATTTAAACTAAAACATATGGGCCATTATAAGAACTAGGAGCCCAATTCTTTAGGCCTATCTCAGTCCCGCCAGTTCTTGGCTAAAATCACAAACAAACAGAACAGAAAATAGAAAGTCAAAAAGGGCAAAAATGCTGTCGTCCGCTTTCACTCCCAAATCCTTCTCCCCTCTCAAAACCCTAAACCCCTCCCTCTCCCGACGAATCCCCCACCGTCCCAGATGCAAGCCCGCTTCCCTTACCGTCAGATCGCTCTTCACCGGAATCGTCGAAGAGATGGGCCAGATCCGCCACCTGGGCCCCACCCCCTCCGGCGACGGCATCGAGCTCAAGATCTCCGCCAGGACCGTGCTCGACGGCGTCAGTCTCGGCGACTCCATCGCCGTCAACGGCACGTGCCTCACCGTGTCCCAGTTCGACCTCGCCTCCTCCCAATTCACCGTCGGCCTCTCCCCCGAAACCCTCCGCAGGACCTCTCTCTCCGACCTCGGCCCCGGCTCCCCCGTCAACCTCGAGCGGGCCCTGCAGCCAGTCTCCCGAATGGGGGGCCACTTCGTCCAGGGGCACGTGGACTGCACGGGGGAGATCGTGTCGGTGAGGCCTGAGGGGGATTCGCTGTGGGTGAAGGTGAGGGTTGAGTCGGCCGATGTGATGAGGTACATCGTGCCGAAAGGGTTCATAACGGTGGACGGAGCGAGCTTGACGGTGGTTGGGGTTTACGAGGAGGAGGGGTGTTTCGATTTCATGCTGGTGGCTTATACTCAGATGAAGGTGGTGATCCCAACGAAGAAGGTCGGGGATAAGGTTAATTTGGAGGTGGATATACTCGGCAAGTATGTCGAGAAATTGCTCAAGAGCGGCGCTGTGAGCTCGGCTTCTTGATTGCTGGAAGGAGAATGAGGAAGAGGTATTTGGTTTTGGTCTCTCATTTGATTATGTTTATTTATTATGTGATTTGAAGGTTATGTTTCAATGCTGCCTGATACTTGGATGGGAAATATAATTTGGAAGTTGTTTGCTTTTATCTGCCGAATAAATGGATTGCTGGAAGCTAGTACTTTATGATTATTTGAACAATTTAATTTGATAACGGAGCGTGTGAGAAAGGAATCAAATTTACACTTAAGGTATTAGTTTAAGTTCTACTCTATGCCTGTTTGATGTTGAACTTTATTCATGATTAATTCAAAGAGAAGAATCACAAGAACGCGGAAGCAATACCTGAATCCATTGCTTGGATCTGAATTAGGATTTTGATGATCTTCTAATCTTAAGGGTCTCTCTAGCCAAATTTCTCTCTAGATAGAGGTGAAGAGAATTAGAGAATGTAACCCTAGATTAGGCACCATAACCCCATATTTATAGTTGTTCTTTTATAATTTGGTCCCTCATCAAATTATAATTACAACCTGGTATCCGCACATTTAGCCAATGGTTTATGTAAATACCCATTAACCTAACTTTATTGATCACTTTATGCGGGTTAACCTTAAAGATATCATTATACTCTAATGTAACATATATGCCCATAATTAGATTTAATCCAACAATCTCTCACTTGGGCACTATATGTTTCATTAAAACGAGTACAACCTTATGAGCTTAGAAATTGTTATCACAAATAATGGTATTTCCGAACAATCTCGTCCATTGACAATATCAATATAGGATCAAAGCGGCCTTCATCACATTTATCGTGACTAAACCCATCATTGGTCACATATACCAATACAATCAAATGACATAGATCAATCATAGATGTGCAGTATGGAAATTACATGCAATGTGATCAGTATATGTCTATTTCTAACTGGTCCTACCTTAAACTTTAGTGAGATCAAAACCAAACATAATGTAACAGAATGTATGAACTGAATACTTTATTCTGATCAGATAATACAACGAAACATAAAGCACTAAAAATTTACAAACTCCCACTAAATCATAATATCCTCAAATAACACCACACCCATACGAGCAGTGTGCTCATGAAAGACCTTGGGTGACAATCCTTTAGTAAGAGGACCAGCTATCATGGAGTTTGTCCCAATGTACTCTATGGATATTTGTCCACTCTGTATCATTTCTTTCACAACCAGGAACTTAATGTCAATATGTTTTGATTTAGTTGAGCTCCTGTTATTGGAATACATAACTGCTGATTTATTGTCACAAAATAACCTTAATAGTCTTTCAATATTTTCCAGAATGCGCAGTCCAGTGACAAAATTTTGTAACCATATTCCATGATTGGATGCCTCATAGCAAGCTACAAACTCTGCTGTCATAGTGGATGAAGCTACAAGTGTCTGTTTGACACTTTTTCATGATATAGCTCCTCCTGCTAACATATAAATGTAGTCTGATATAGACTTTCTACTATCTTGACATCCAACAAAATCAAAATCAGAGTACCCAATGATCTCTAGCTGATCTGATTTTCTGTATGTGAGCATATAATCTTTTATTTTTTAAAGACACCTCATAATCTTTTTGACTGCTATCCAATGATCCATATCAGGGTTGCTTAAGTATCTACCTAACATCCCAACAATGTACTCAATATCCGGACGCGTACACACCTGAGCATACATTAGACTTCCTACAGCCGAAGCATAAGGAATCTTCTGTATTTTCTGAATTTTAATGTTGTCTTTAGGGCACTGATTGAGACTAAACTTATCTCCTTTAGCAACATGGGTGTCTCCTGGTCTGCAGTTTTATATGCCAAACCTATTAAGTACTTTATCGATATAACTTTTTTGTGATAATTCAAGTATACCTCGAGAACGATCTCGATGTATCTGGATTCCTAATATAAAAGAGGCGTCCCCAAGATCTTTCATCTTAAAATTCTTTGATAGAAATCTTTTGGTTTCGTGTAATATGCCTATATCATTAGTGGCAAGCAATATATCATCGACATGCAGAACCTGAAAAATATGCTTACTCCCACTGAACTTGTGATATACACAGTCATCAATAATATTCATCTCAAAACCAAACGAGATAATTATTTGTTAAAACTTGTAATACTATTGACGAGGAGCTTGCTTGAGTCCATAGATGGATTTTTTTAATTTACAAACCATATTCTTTGGGTCACTTGACACAAAGTTTTCTGGTTGTACCATATAGATCATTTTATCAATGTCTCCATTGAGAAACGCAGTCTTAACATCCATCTGATGTAACTCAAGATCAATGTGAGCAACAAGTGTCATGATTGTTCTAAAAGAGTCTTTCGATGAAACCGGAGAGAAAGTCTCTGTATAATTAATGCCTTTCTTTTGAGTAAAGCCTTTAGCTACAAGACGTGTCTTATACCTATCCACATTACCATTTGCATCCCGCTTGGTTTTAAATATCCATTTACAACCAATTGGTTTTGCACCTTCTGGTAATAGGACAAGTTCCCAAAGCTTATTGCCTTGCATAGGCTTGTACTCTTCATTCATGGCATCAATCCACTTTTGAGAGTTAGAACTTTTCATGGCCTGAAGGAAGTTGATTGGATCATCTTCCATCATTTTATTATTTTCCTCATGTTCTTGGAGAAATATAATATAATCATCCGGAATAGCATTTCTTCTTTCTCTTATGGATCTCCTTAAAGACACTGGTTCTTGAGGTTGTTGAGTTTGTTCTTCTGGAACAGGGAGTTATTCAACATTGTCATCTTGAGGTTCTGAATTTACTTCTTGAGTAATAACATGTATAAGAATCCGAAGATTGTCAAAAGTAACTGTATGGATTGGATCTGAAGCCAATTTCTCCTCAAAAGCAATGTTTCTAAGCTTATTTATCCCCCTACATTCTCAAAGAATATTGCTGTTTTCGTCTCAAAAATATTCCCGAGTGTGAGATCATAAAACTTATAGTCCATAGAGCGTTAAAAATACCCAATAAAGTAGCTGCTAACTGTTTTGGAGTTTAATTTTTTTCATTTGGCCTATAAGGCCTTGCATCAGCTGGACATCCCCAAATATGTAAGTGCTTTAAACTGGGTTTTCGACCAGTCCAAAGTTCATAAGGTGTTTTAGCAACTGTTTTATTTGGTATTTTGTTCAGAATGTAAGCTGCTATCTTTAGTGCTTCTTCCCAGAGTGACTTGGGTAAAGAAGAATGAGCAATCATACTTCTTACCATATCCTTAAGAATCTTATTTCGTCTTTTAGCTACACCATTCATGTTAGGTGAACCCGACATGGTGTACTATGGGACGATACCGTATTCCTCTAGGTATCTAGCAAATGGTTCTGAACGTTGTTCACCTGAACCATTATATCTGCCGTAGTACTCACCACCACGATCAGATCTAACGATTTTAATTCTTTTATTGAGTTGATTCTCAACTTCAGCTTTAAAAGCTTTGAACATGTTCAGAGACTTAGATTTTTCATGAATACGATATATGTACCCATAACGTGAGTAATTGTCTATGAATGATATAAAATATTGTTGACCATTCCAAGATGCCATAGGGAATGACCCACAAATATCTGTATGTATCAATTCTAAGATTTTTGAAGATCTATCAATTCTAAGATTTTTGAAGATCTATTAGCAACTAATCGCTTAACTTTGGTTTGTTTTCCCTTGATACATTCAACACAAACGTTAAAATCCGAAAAATCAAGGGAATCTAAAATGCCATCAGACACAAGACGCTCAACTCTACATTTTGAGATATGAGCCAAGCGTTTATGTCATAATGTCACTGATTTTTTTTTATTTAATTTACGCTTAGTATCACGTGATTTCACATTCAAAGTTTGATTACAAGAAGCAATTGTATCAAGCAAATATAGATTGTCATAAGTACTTAAGTAACCAGTTCCCACAACATTTGAATTAAAAGATAAACTGAATTGATTGTTTCCAAATGAACAAGAATAACTTGATTTGTCCAATACAGAAATAGAAATCAAATTCCGTCTAAAAGACGGTGTTACAAAAGTATCTTTCAAATCCAAATAAGAACCAATTCCTAACAGCAACCTAAAGTGCTCAATTGCTTTCACATCTACCGATTGTCCATTGCCCACAAAGATGTGTCTTTCAACATCACTTGACTTTCGGTAGTTCAGGCAATCCTGTATAGAAACACTTATGTGAGTAGTAGCACCAGAGTCTAACCACCAAGTGTTTCTAGGTACTGAAGCTAAATTAACCTCAGAACATATCAAAGTAAGAAACATACCCTTCTTAGCACGCCGGACGTGATATTTGGTACAATCATTCTTTACGTGTCCAACCTTATTGCAAAAAAAACAACCTTGATCATCCTTATGTTGTTTCTTCTGAATTGGACCCTTAGCAGGTTCATTATCATTCTTCCTTTTCTTGCCCTTATCCTTAGAGGCATAGGTCAAATGAGCACTTTTAGTCTTATCTTGCTTTAACCTGTCTTCTTCTTGCACACAGTATGAAATGAGTTCATTTAGGGTTCATTTCTCCTTTTGCTAGTTATAACTGACCTTAAATTGATTGAATTGTGTAGGAAGAGACAACAAAATCAGATGCACCAGTAACTCGTCACAAAGATCGAGTTTAAGTGCCTTAAGTTTTGAAGCAATATGAGATATTTTCATAATATACTCCCTGATATTTCCTTTGTCTTTATACTTCATCGAAATCAAGCGAGCTAAGAGCGTGCTTGTTTCTACCTTATCGTTTTTTACAAAACGCTTCTAAATTTCGGCAAGGAAATCTCTGGTCTTAGTAATTCCTTCGGATTCTATGCCCCTGAAGGCTTCAGGAACGCCGCGCTTAATGATCATAAGACTCGTGCGATTTGAACGCTCCCATTTCTCATACTCCTTCTTTGCATCAGGAGTGCTATCCGTATTGAGAGGTTGAGGTTGTTCAGTTCTTAATACAAGGTCTAGATCCATACAGTCAAGAATAATTAAAATGTTCTCTTTCCAAACATTGAAATTTGTCCCATTGAGCATGAGAATTGAGTTGATGTTAGTAGAAATTGTTGCAGCAGACAGTGTTTTTAAAGGCGCTCTCGGGCGATCGCCTCGGGCGCAAGGCGCTGCGGCGCAGTGAAATAGCGCCCCGCATGAGGTGCGGGGCGCTACACTTACGCCAAGCGCGCGCCCCAGAGCGCCCGAGAGCGCTTCGCTTTTGTAGGGAAGTCGATCGCCTCCGTTTTCAGCGCGATTGGCTTAAGAAATTGCAGGCTATCGGGTAGAAACCCGACTCAAGCTTAAACCCAAAAGGGCGAAAACAGATCTAACCTGTTACAGCAAAGAATTAGGGCTTTTTCAGCGTGATTGGCTTCTTCGACAGTTCCTCGTGCCTTCGTTTTCGTGTTCGGTCTCTCCCTTTCAACTTCGTGGTCGGTCTCTTCCTTTCGATTCCAGTTCGGCGACTTCTTGAGAACGACGAGAAGCCCGCGACGAGCAGCCGGCGGTGAGAACGAAACTGCAGCAGGTAATTTTTTCCTTTTTTTTGCCTTTTTTTTCTTTTCTTTTCTTCGGTGACTTGGGTCTTCCTTTTCTTCTTCTTTTTTTTTGACTTGGGTCTTCCGTTCTCCTTTATCTTCGGTCTTTTCACTTTTTTTTTTATTTTCTTGTTACCTGCTACAGTCTTCTCTTTTTTCTTCTTCCCTTCTTCTTCTCACGGGAATGTTTAACTGTTAATGTTTGAGATAGTAAACAGTAAACTGCTTTTTAATTGATAATAGGTAATTATTAAAGTTTGGTTTGTGGACTATTTTGATTAATTATAGGCTAATGATTAATTGATGTTTGATCACTTGATTAATAATAGGCTAATTGATTAATAATAGGCTAATATAGGCTAATGATTAATTGATGTTTGATCACTTGATTAATAATAGGCTAATTGATTAATAATAGGCTAATGATTAATAATAGGCTAATTGATACTTGATTAATAATAGGCTAATTGATTAATAATAGGCTAATGATTAATAATAGGCTAATTGATATTAGGTAATTATTAAAGTTCTGTTGACTATTAAGAGTCTTAAGACAAGGTTGATCACTTGATTGATTGATTAAAGTTCAGTTGAAATGCGTAGTCATGAAATTATGAAATTGCAACAACATTGTTCTTATTAATACATATCAGTCATAATTGTTGAAAATGTGCTACAATTTGATTTCCAATGCGAGACTGCGAGTATTGATTCTTTTTATTTGAGCTAGGTGTTGTGTTACTAGTTGACTTGAAACTTGATTCGTCATTTGTAACCTGTAAAGAGGAAAATAAAATTTAGCAATATAGTTGTTAGTGATGCAATATATTAGTATGAAAATTTGAATAATTTGCAAGCTTGAATGAAAATTAACGTACATGTTTAATACTTTAATTCACTAAATCTATTTTCATTGTTTTGATGTAGATATGTCTTCATCAGCGGGTAGTGGAAGAAGACAAGATCCTACATGGAAATATACTTCATTGGTTGACGAAGGGAATGCCAATAAACATAAGTGCATATTTTGTAACAAAATCACAAATGACGGCATATCTCGACAAAAAGAGCATCTAATCGGGACGGATAGGAAACGCAAAAATATGAGTCTTTGTCAAAAAGTCCCTCCCGATGTGGTTGAAGAGCTTAAAGATTATGAAGAAAGACAAAAGATAGCTAAAAGACAACAAGCTATAGATGAATATCTCCCCGAACTTGGAGATGAGAACATGGTGGAAATTGATGATGAGGAGGATGAAGATGAACAAGTACAAGAACGTAGAGATAGAGGAAAAAGCACGGCGGTTCCTAGGTCATCTTCAGTAACGGCAAGAGGAAGAGGGGGTGTTGGCATGCACAGTGCGGGATCTTCCACAGGCCTAAAGAGGAAGGGGCCGATGGATGCATTTCTTACATTCGATCCCGCTTTAGAGGTCGCCAAGGATGAAAGAAGACGCAAGTTGAGGCAATCGTGTATTGAAGAAAGCCTAAACAAAGATGTAGTGGCTAAAGTACATCAAGACATAGCTCGGTGGTGGTATCAAGCCGGCATTCCCTTTAATGCCGCTCGTCTTAGATCTTTCAAAATCATGTTAAAGTCTGTGGGGATTTTTGGGCCTAACTTGCCTCCTCTGACATTACACCATTTGAGAGAGCCTTTGCTTAGGAAGGAGAAAAAATACACTGATGATCTAATACAACATCATAAAGATGTGTGGGCTACTAAATGTTGTTCTTTCATGTCAGATGGTTGGAGTGACAGAAAGGGGAGGACATTGATCAACTTTCTTGTGAACTCTCCTCATGGTACGGTGTTTCTTTCATCTATTGATGCTTCTGATGAGATCAAGACGGGTGACAGAATGTTTGAGATACTTAGTGAGCAGATTAAGCTCATAGGACCTCAGAATGTTGTTCAGATCGTCACGGATAACCATTCTAGTCTCAAATATGCAGGTAAATTTTAAGCAATTAATTTTATTTTGGTTATGAATCCTTTGCTAATGGTAAATTTTAAGCAATTAATTTTATTTTGGTTATGAATCCTTTGCTAATGCTATGTTAGGTTGCTCTGATATTGATCTTTTTTTTATTCTTTTATTTATAGGAGCGGAATTGGAAAAATAGTATCCTCATTTATATTGGACTCCTTGTGCTGCTCATTGTATTAATCTCATGCTCAAGGATATTGGTAAACTACCATCTGTGAAGCTAACTTTGAGTCGAGCTATGGAGTTGACTGGATTCATCTACTCACATGCGTGAGTTTTGAAGCTGATGAGAGGTCAAACTAACGACAGAGAGCTTCTTAGACCGGCGGTGACACGATTTGCCACATCATTTATGACTTTGTCAAGCATCCATCGACAAAAAAATAACCTCAGAAAGATGTTTAATTTGGAGGCATGGAGGCAAAGTAAGTGGGCAAGAGATTCAAAGGGCAAATCAGCTGAAAGGATAGTTCATATGCCATCTTTCTAGAACAACATCGTTCGTATTCTCAAGCTGACGGCTCCTCTTGTTGGTGTTCTGAAACTTGTTGATGGTGACAAAAAGCCTGCTATGGGATACATTTATGAGGCAATGGATAGAGCTAAGGAGGCTATTGCTAAAGCCTTTGGTGATGATTCAACAAAATATTCTGAGGTATTTGAAGGAGACTATTGCTAAAGCCTTTGGTGATGATTCAACAAAATATTCTGAAGTATTTGATATCATTGATAAGAGGTGGCAGGATCAGCTTCATCGTCCTTTGCATGCTGCAGGATATTACCTTAATCCTGCATTTTTCTATGACCATCCAAATATCGAAGGGGATGACGAAGTTATGAGAGGTCTTTATCAAGTCATTGAGAAGATGGTGCCCACACAAGACCAAGACAAGGTTGATAGGCAGTTGGATATATACAGGCATGCTGGGGGTCTTTTTGGTATGGAGATAGCTAAGAGAAACAGAAAGAAGAAGTCTCCAGGTAAATATGCATAATATAAAGTTATAAACCCTTAATTGACTAGATTTCTTATAAGAAATATACTACTAATCATAGTCTATTTAAATTGACAGCTGATTGATGGGAGTCTTATGGTGCATCAGCACCAGAGTTGCAGAAGCTTGCTGTTAGAGTCCTCAGCCTTACTTGTAGCTCCTCTGGCTGTGAAAGAAATTGGAGTACTTTTGAGCAAGTATGATTAGTTTTATTTTATTGAACAAAATAGATTTAATTCCCTTAGAGATATGGATATTGATTTGATTGATTTGTATAAATTACAGATACAGACCAAGAAGAGAAATAAGTTGGATCATAAGAGGCTGCAAGATCTAGTTTACTGCAAGTACAACCAAGCTTTGAAGGAGAGATATGACCGCAGAGATTCTATTGATCCGATTAAATTGGCTGATATAGATGAAAGCAATGAATGGTTGTTAGGGCAGTTCGGTGCAGGTGAAAATGCAGAGAATGACTTGGTGGAGGGCGAGGATAACCTTACATATGGTGTCATAGGAGATGCGATAGGAGTTGAAGAAGATGATTCTATGTATCTAAGATCGACTAATAGGTTTCGAGGATCTTCGAGTGGTATTGGTTCTTCGTCAAGGAGGAGGGAGCTAGTTTCTGAGTCAGAAGATGAAGAGGAGTTTAATGACGAGGAGGAGGAGACTGAAGATGAGGATATACCCTTAGAAGGGGATGATGATGATGTTAATGATGATGATGTTAATGAGGATGATTTGAATCATTAGGCTATTATTTTGCTACTTATTTGCTTTGTTTAATTAGATTGCTTGTTTTGCTTTGATGTTAGTGAACTTTGGAAGTGTTTTAGTTGCTTTGTTTTTTTGTTTTGATGGACATCTTGATTTGCTTCAATGATTAAAACTTTATCTTGTGATCCGGTAGTATATATTTTATCTTGAGTCATTGACATTTTTTATGTGAAATGTCACAAATATTTATTTTTTCATGCATCTTGTATATCTTCAAAAATTTTGTGATCTGGAGTGCGCCTCACTTCGCTCGGGCGCGCGCATCGCATTGCGCCTTGCGCATGTACGCGTAAACTGACTTTGCGCCCCGCATTGCGCCTTGCGCATTGAAAACACTGGCAGCAGATGCATTAGCTGAAATAAACAAAAGATTTTAACCTTAATTAGTAATCAATAAAATTTAAATAATGACGAATCTCATCTCAAGATATCTGACACAACATTAATATCAAGTCTTTGGACAATAATATTAATTTGTAAGTGATACCTTATTGCAATGATCAAACGCTGACAATAACGCATGTCAGATAATAAAACTATCTTTAGATCGATTCATTATTCACATGTAAATCTTATAATTGTTACACGTTTATCATCACAGATGTGTATGCAGTCTAAATAAATATTAACTTTCTTTTGGGCCGATTAAATATTTACACGAAAACACACACAACCATCTAACATCCCTCATGAATAATCTACACAAGAGATGTTACTTTTGGCAACTTCTTGTTTCAATTAATCATTTAGAATGAGAGATAAACTTAATACCTTAGTGTCATATTATTTGAATTAAATAATTGATTAACTACCAAATAATGTTCTGAAATTAACTTGAGTAATTAAAATAGATTTCTCTATTTTAATTAACCGTAGACAGACCTATAAATTAATATGGCCTACAACTTAATAAATTATTTGAGCAATTCAAATAATCTCCAAATTAATCACATGCCCAATAAATAAAGACCCGATACTAGATTAGGCCCATAACTTAATAGGATTATTTGAGAATTCAAGTAATCCACACTTAATTGAAATAGGCCCAAAACCAAATAAACTCTTAAGTGGGCTTTGACCTTTAAGAAGAAGTGCCTTCATTTCTTCATAACATCTTCCCAAAAGAACGAAGCTGCGTGTTACTGTAGCCTTCTTTTACTCGACGGGAAATAAAAAGATAACAGAGAACGAACGCAAGGTTCGTTGAGAATGAACGCGGGGTTCGACTTGAGAACGAACGCGTGGTTCGTTTGGATCGAGCACGAGGCTCGCCTGAGAATGAACGCGGGGTTCGACTTGAGAACGAACCCGGGGTTCATTTGAATTGAGCACGATTTTCGCTGAAGCTTTCCAGCCCTGAAGCTCGCCTAAAATTGAGAACGAACGCGAGATTCGACTTGAGAACGTACGCGAGGTTCCTCCTTTTGCCCTAATTCATCGCACGTTTTCACGCACGATTTCTTGCACGAACACCCCTTTAGGGTTTCGTTTTGAACCGTCGCCGCCGCCGCCGCTTAAGCTCCCGCACCCTAGGGTTTCGAAACCTTAGGACTTCCTGATGCCACCGCCGCTGTCTTCCATTGACAGCGGGCCGCCAGCGAACATCGCTGACGAGGAGTTAAGTGAACGATGACTTAATCCAAATTTCAATTTATGAAAATTATGAACTTTGATTGCACACAATTTTGATCAATGAGTTAATCCCTAATTCATGAAATTGATGATTTTCTCACAATCTGGATCAAGAATTTGATCCAGATTCAACAGCCGAAAGAGAAAATCAAAATCAAAAGAAAAAAAAAGATTTTTATTATTATTACTGTTCATGCATGCTACAGTTCCAAAGCAAACAGAAATAATAATAAAAAAATTTGAATTTTTTTTCATCCTACAGATCATATTTGCACAGATCCAAAGGCGCATCAGATCTTAATCAAGCCAAATTAAGATCAAAGAAAAAACCCCAAATTCTTAATCTTAACCATAAATCTCAAAGAATTAAACACGGTGGTTTTGATACCACATGTTGAACTTTATTCATGATTAATTCAAAGAGAAGAATCACAAGAACGCGGAAGCAATACCTGAATCTATTGTTTGGACCTGAATTAGGGTTTTGATGATCTTCTAATCTTGAGGGTCTCTCTAGCCAAATTTCTCTCTAGATGGGGGTGAAGAGAATTAGAGAATGTAATCCTAGATTAGGGATCATAACCCCTTATTTATAGTTGTTGTTCTTTTATAATTTGGCCCCTCATCAAATTATAATTACAACCTGGTATCCGCATATTTAACCCATGATTTATTTAAATACCCATTAACCCAAATTTATTGATCACTTTATGCGGGTTAACCTTAAGGATAACATTATACACTAATGTAACATATATGTCCATAATTAGATTTAATCCAATATTTGATTGTTCTGGAATTGGAACAGGCGGGGTAATTTTCATCTATATCTATGAACTGAACATGTAAAACCTTAATGGTTAGTTCATATACTCATGGAAATGATCTCTCTTCGACCATATCAAATTTTGAGTTGCATAATCTTTATAGTTAGCATGTTGCATAATCTTTATAGTTAGCATGTTTGGAGTATAGAGTTGTCAGTATTTCAGGGTGGAGAGTGAGTGTAGAAGGTTAGGAAATATGCATGTTAGGTGTCATGTAGAAATAAACAGTAAGTGTATCTACTTTTACTACCTCAGTCCAGCTCCAAGTTTAAATTTCTCTGCGTTCACCTCCGCTTCAAGAAGTTCCTTCAACTATACTCCTATGTTCTTGACAGCACTACCCTTTTGGGGAATTTCAGCTCCTTAAAATGCAGTTCGTCATGCCCAGCAACTCAGAAGTATGAATACGAATAATGATACAGGTTCGAGTCTAGCAAGGATTGTGAGAGGAAAACAATAGTAAGTATCAAGTGTTCTTAAGCAATCTATTTAGGGTATCTAGAATCCAAAATAAAGTATGTAAGTTTTGAAAGGAGACAACTAGAGTCATATATTGGAGTTGAGTGGAAGATGTTGTATAGATCTAGAAGAACTATGAAGAACATTTGTTAAATACATTATAGACCACAAGGTAGAAATTTTGAACCGAATACAGGTTTGGCAATTTGAAAGAAAACGAGAGCATACAATGAATAGGGTTCGAAAATAATAATGAGTTTTTGGACATGGTTACTGTTTAATGCCTAATGTGTCATGGGGATTCTTAGCCTGAATAGTATGTGTTTCCCAGTGCATGTCCCTTTTATTACCCATAACTCAAGTGTAAGATTGGTTTTGTCTTGCTTCCATGCAGACATGTTTCTCACCCTTGAAATAGTTTCCAATCAACTAACTCTAACTCTAATGTTCTCTATTTTCCGATCTCTAGATTATGTTAGAGGATTGGAATAGCTTATCCTCCTTCAGTGAAGTTACATTTAAGTTCCTACAAGTGTCCACATTTTTTATGCTTTTCCCCATCTCCCATCTTCTGAGTCATCCTTCTCAACTTCCTCATTTCATGTACAATCATTTTTGACATGTTTCTCATTGCAAAGGACTCTAGCGTATAAAGCATAACTGACAATCAACATTGTAGTTTCATTGAGAAAAACTTATTTATATTGTAGTCCTGAAGCTCCTGTCTGCTTCAAACATCCTATGTTAATTTTGTGAAACAACACTGATGTTAAATTTGTGCATCATCCTTCCAACAGCTTGCAGTAGATGAATCATAGTAATTCTGATACAATTTTTTTTTCTTTCCTTAGACAAGTTATTTCAGCATCATCATTAAGTGCATCTCTAATTAGTACCGGTAAGAAATGCAGCTAGCTTTATTATATGGAACTGCCTCCAATCTCCACCTACTTTTTTGCACAACTTAAATTCTATGGCCTACAATGGAACCCCATTACGCAGAAATTTTCCTGTACTAAAAGACTCAGTTATATTCTTATTGGACCATGCACCTCTCCTTTTCTTCTTCCTGTGTTAGGATTTGATCTCCTACATATAGGAGAAACCAAAGTTCATCACAGGCAAAATATAAGATTTTCTACCTTACTGCTAGATCCTCCATATTTCTTGAAGCTCCTAGGATTTCTGTATTTTTTCCATTTTACATATCACACTTCTACATATGTGGATACAACATTTTCATCTTCTGAAATACAACGTGTAGTCTGAAGTAAACTCAGTAGATATTGCCTTCAACCTAGACTACAGATTTGAGGCTGTGTTGATTCTAGGCGCTTTGAGTGGAAAAGGAAACCAACATTTACAAAATATGGATTTCGAGCGAAGCTAATAGTAATGAATTGATTGAGAAGATGGAAGACCTATTGTTGGAGAGGAAGATGAATAAAGTGGCAAAGACGAATGGCTCGGGAAAGGCAAAAAAATGGTCAAAAGATGTAGAACAGTTTTTTCTCTAATCGTGAATTTTTTTTCGTCTTTTCTTCCCAGAAAATGGTTTAATTTTGTTGTTGAAGTCTGCAAGTTTGAGAGTCTTCATGTTATGAGCGTTGGGAATTTTTTCTTCTGCATTCCTTTTTCAATAAAAATCTTTATTTGAATGTAAATTGAACATTTCCCTTTTACAGTTGTGTTCAATAATCTTTTGTTAGCAATGTAAATAAATTGTAGACATTGCTTGTGTTCTACATCTCCATTCGCTAATCTGTTTTCAACAATGTCAATGAACCGTGTCAAGTCTGCTCAAGTTCCTCCTTACTACTGGCAGCAGATGTCTGTTGAGCTACAGGTTGCAGGGATACTGATTCCCTGCGTGCGCGCGCACGCACACATATTTATGATAAAATGAGATGATGAGCTCATATTTTTATCGTGAGCTAGCCCAATAGGCTACTTGAAACGATGATTAGCACTCCCCATTGTGATTTGTTGAAAAAATTATATTATTTTAAAAATTTTAATCAATGTTTTAGCTATGTGTAGAAGGGACGGCTGTTAAGTTGCTTGAAAGATGAACATATCATACTAATTTGATTAAGACTCCAAATAATGTGAAAATTTTATTATATATATTTGATGACGTATTGAGTAAGAAGTACGGTGCTGATTTTGAATTTGATGACCCAATTAGTCGAGCTCACGTTAACATTTGAGCTTCATTTTATACACACACATATATTATTATTATTATTACTATTATAATTTTGCCCTCTTCTTCAAAGTAATAGCATGGTTAGAGCATGTCCAACTCTATAAAATTTGATTTATGCTAACAGAATCTTTGAGTAATGGTGATGTATTTTATGCATCGGTACAGAAATAAAGTCAGTAGTTCGTGGTGAAGGATTTTGGACTTCATTCGAAAGAGATGGATATAAACAGTTAAAAGAAAAAACAGAATACGTCAACGGTATAATGTTTGTTAAACTGTTACAGTGGGCTTTTTTTTTTGTGAGAATAACGAACTACGACTTGATCAGAAGATGAGTGTAGTTGATCTATGAGGCAGGCTCGATGACGGAGCTAAGAGCCATTTACGGCCCAACAAGCCCAAAGCTGCCCTCCTTTAGAACTAGCCTCAACTAGCAACTGCCATTTTTGGTAAAAACTAGTTTTTACACACGTGCAATGCACGTGATTTAATACCATGATTAAGTATTTTTGACAGTTTGTGCTTATTTTTTTTTCTTTAAACTCTTACATCCCGATTATTTTTTTATGTTTGTTTAAATGGGATACACCCAATTTAAATTTTCATGTTGATATTTGAATTGACAAAAAACAAATATAATTTAAAATTAATTTGAATTTTCATATTATTTTTGATCGATATGAAACTAAGCTTTATTTGATAAAGTATAGCATTGCAAAGTAAAAAAATATTAAAATAGTGTTATACAAGAAAGGTGAATATTTAAAACCAATATGGCAAAATGATTGATTTAAAGTATGTTAAAATGATGCAAAAGAGAATATGAAGTTTATTCCTAATCATTGATAGACTTCATAAAAAAAATATAAATTAAAGATTAATGCAACTCTAGTATACTTTTATATGATAAAAACATCCACATAAGAATATAAAAGTACTGAAAAAAATTCATGAAACTCCCTTCTAAAGATTCCTAATTTCACTCAAAATAATTAAACTATTCTATAAAATATTCATAAAATATTGTTTTTATTTCTTCTATTTTATTTTTTATTGAGTTAAGATCAATCCTTCTTCAGGTTTATCATTTATTATTTCTCGGACAATTCTAGAGTATTGTCTTCATCATCTACATCAATTATGACATCAGGCTAATTTTGTATTTTTTTATGCTATTATCTTTCCTAGGCTCGTTAATTTTTTATCATCTCATTTAACTTTACAAAGAAGTCAAATGTACTTATGATGTTCAACACAAACTGCTCAAAATATAGACTTTGATTTTTTTTTTAATTTAATGAGAATAAATATTAATTTCATATATATAAAATTCTTTGTGTTCCTAATTTATTACTTAAATAAATTAGAAGCTATCTCTTTATTTTCCTCTAAAATGAATTCTTCTGATGTGCATCCAATAAGAATTTCTTTTATTTCAATAATATTACATTTGCTCTATCCCTGTCTAAATACCTGTAATATTCATTACCAATTTTTCTTAGATTATAATATTAATATTTAATTTGAAGAACACAATATGGAATTTATGAATACTTACTAATTTTTCTTATGTCTTCCATGGAGATTTTTTTTATTAGGATAAAGTTATTAAATTATTTTTTAATGTAACCTATTCAGTGCTTTATTAATAGATATGTCTTATGTTAATGCCAATTCAAGTGATTCATTGACGTTTTCTGAATTTTAGATTTATTTCCATTACTTTTCCATTTGCAATGGAAATAACTCACAATTCTTTTAAATTTATCTCTAAATATTCTAATAGTTTCTCCATATGTAATTCCTTGTATTCTTTTACCTTATAAATATTATTAACATCAAAGATTAAAGTTTCTAAATTAAAATAAATTAATGCTAAGGTATAATATTATAGTGTTTTATCATTTCTATGGATTTAAACATCTATCAATTAATGTTACGAATGTATTTTGGCTACCCCAACTTATTACTAAAATTATATAAAATTACTTTAATTTATATAGTGCCGATAATTTTTAATCTATAATATTTTTAAAAATTTTATCCATTAACCGGATGTTTTTAATCAATTCTTATTGTTTTTGTTTACCAGTATCAACTTAGACTATTCTTAGATGCTGAAAATGGATAGTAAATCCCTAAATTAGAAATTTTAATATATATATATATGAAAAATACCAAACAATTACACTTTTCTTTGCCAAGTTTTAAAATTTTAGCCCATTTTTGTGGTTTTGAACTTTGAGGGTGTGATTTATAATTTTTAAAATTTTGAAAGAGTTTTTAAAAAAATTTACTTTTAAGTTTGGTAGTTGTAAATTCTATGTTTCATGTGTTGGTGGTAATTTTTTAAATGTTAGTATATTTCTTGTAACTCTAAAATTTTGAGGGTGTCTTTTGCAATTATTAAAACTATAGATTAATTTTGAAAAATATTAAATTTCAGCGGTCTACCAATCGACGAATTTGATGTGTGCTAGTTAAAAATTTTGAAAATTTAGAGTTTTTTTTACGATTTTTAAATTTTGAAGGAGTTTTTTAAAAATTTTGAGGTTAATTTTGGCAAATTTTAATTTTTTAGGTGTCTAAGGGTAATATCTTGAATTCATCTTATTTTATTTACAAATTTTAGAATTTTAGGGTGGCTTTTTATAATTTGAACTTTTGAAGGTGTTTCTATAATTTTTGAGATATTGAGGGTGTTAATTAAAAAATTTAAATTTAAATGTCAAAAATTTTAGGTGTATCATGGTAATCTCTTGAATTCATCTGTGTTGTTTGTAAGTTTTAAAATTTTAGAATTTTAATGTGCTTGTCTGTAATTTAAACTTTTGAGGGTGTTTCTATAATTTTTGAGACATTGAGGTGTTAACTGTAAATTTTAAATTCTTTGCAAACTGATGTTAATTTTTTAATTTCATGTTTTTTATTTTAAGTTTTGAGACATTTGGATGAGTTTTACAATTTTAAACTTTTCAGGGTCTTTTCTGCAATTTTAAAACTTTTTATGGTTTTTTTGCAATACTTCATGTATTATAATATGTTATCTACTTGTAATTTCTTTATCTTAACAAACTAATATCATTTTTATGTTTTATATATTTTATTAATATTAGTTTTTTTAAATTGTTAAGCTAAACATGGTTCACATAGGATTAGGATAAGATATGATTATGATTAGGATAGATTAAGATATAAATAAAATATTCAAAATAATGTAGGGTAATATTGACCATTGAAAATTAGAATTTGATTATAGATAAGGTAGTTTAAACTATAAAGGGGTATATTTGTTTAAAAAAGATTTTCCGAACTCGTGCTTTTAAAGGGAGTATGATTGCGGATAATCTCTTTCATCTGTACATTTAGTAGCGCTCCTCACTACCTCAGCTGTTCTGTAGTACTTAGCTCCCCAAAATTTAGTCCCCAGTATCCACCTTTATATAATAACTAAAAGGTCGGGCCATTTTTCTAGAAGAAATTTTGATGGGTTACTTGCGCTTAAATAAACCAAAGTTTATTTCATTGTTAACTTCAACACTCCCAGGTTTTTTTTCCCACAAAAAATATCCAGATGTTTAGCAAAATTTATCTTATAAGTATAAACTTTTTCGTTCAATTCCCGTGCACATATAGGGTAATCTTTTGTTAAAATTTGGGCTTACCAAATCGAATTTTTAAGGAACTTTGGGGTGTTTCTTAGGGAAATTAAACTTCGAGATATCAAAGTTAAAAATGAAAGTAAACCTTTGTGGGGGTGGGGGGGGGGGGGGGCGACAACTTTAGAAAGGAGTTAATTTTGGGGTATTTAAGCGTAAATTAGTCAACTTGAGAAATTGGGTTAAGGACCTACAATTACAAAGCACCGTTATATTTGCTAGTTAATAAAGTTGCTATTAAAATAGCAAAATTCGGAAGGAGTAACAGATTACTGACCGAGGCTTAAAAGTTCTCCCACGAAACCTCCCCAAATTGACAAAAGAAAATCTAGAAGCTCAGAAATGGATTCAGAAACCCAGCAAAAAATCGAGGAGACCGTCCTCGAGATTCTAAAGGATGCAGACATGGAGTCGACCACCGAGTACAAGATCCGAACCATGGCGGCGGAGAGGCTAGGCCTTGACCTCTCCGTTCCCGATCGCAAGCTTTTCGTTCGCCAAGTCGTCGAGTCATTTCTCCAATCCAAAACCCTAGAAGAAAAAGAACAGCAACAGAAAGAAGAAGAAGAAGCTGAGCAGCGAAAGGAAGAGGAGGTTGAGGAGGAGGAGGAGGAGAATGATGGAAAGCAGAAGAGAGAGTACGATGACGAAGGCGATCTCATCATCTGCAGGGTTCGTCTGGTTCTAATTGAGGTTCTTCTTTTTTTTTTTTGGTTTTTAGGGTTTAATTAGGGTTTTTTGTTTGAGGACAGTTGTCGAACAAGAGGCGGGTGACGATTCAGGACTTCAGGGGGAGGACGCTGGTGTCGATCAGGGAGTACTACGAGAGAGACGGGAAGCAGCTGCCTTCCTCTAAAGGTATTATTATTATTATTATTATTATTATTTTGGTTTTGGATTGAATTAATCGATTAATCAGTTCATTGCCCAAGCTTTCCAATTTTACCTTGTTTGGTAGAAGAACTGGAGATATCAGCAAAATCTTCCTTTTGGCTTGGATAAATGCTTAGGCTTTGGTCTGATTTGATCAAATTTAGTTGATTGTTCTCTTTGTTCTTTGTTGATACCATGGGCTTTACTCATTAGTAATCTTTTGTAGAGGAAAGTAATAGATTTGGGTTCATAGGAAACAAGCCACTTCTTTAAGAAATTGGTGGCTGTTGCTAAGACTATACTTTGCATTTATGTTCTTATATCTCGAATCTCCAGCAGCTGTGATCTTCCGCTAAATAGAGTTACTAAGATATGGTTTACTACGTTATGTTTGCAATATATGAATTAGCAGGTCTCAGGAAGTGCAGGCTTCAAACTCTATTTGCACAGAGGACTAGTCTTAATTAATTTGTATCTGAGTGACTCTATTAAGGGTAAAGAGCATCTGGGTGAGTTTGTTGAGGTGTCCATAAGCAGAAATATCTTTAGTTTTGTCGAGAGATTGGTTGCTCCGCTAAATAGACAAGAAGAATTGGATTTTGATTTTATCTTCATCTGTTGTTATGTTTGTGGCTTTTGTTTTGTGTTTGTCATTTTTTGGTGGTGGCTTCATTCCTTAAGAATTCATGAAGAAAATTACAATTTGGTTATTCTTCCAAACCAGACATTATGTTATATCTATTTTTTCCCCTCTCTTGAGTTACTTAGGAGATGATTATGATTCTGTGGAAAAAGTAGCTAAAGTCCAATTTTCTTTTATTAGGTAAAACTGTAAAAGCGAAATATTGTATGATGCATTCAAATTTTTTTATTAGGCTCTTAGAATAATGACTGATGATTATTTAGCAATCCATCAATAATTGTCATCCAGGTTTTGGGAATTGGACGTTGAGCATTATACATCTCTAATCTTGTGCATGATCTAAGGGGTTCTTGAATGCATCTTTTTTTTTGTGGTTTTATATAATTGTATCCATCGAACTAGTTTAGATTATTCTTTATTTTTTTACATGACAAGTTTTTCTGGCACCAAGTTTGTGATCTTTATGAGCTTTCGAGCAAGCTGTGTGGAGCATTACATGAGTTATACCATTTACATGTACATTACAGGTCTCTAGTTACTTTGATATAAATGCAGTGTCATATCCCCTTAAATTGAATGTTTATGTAGTTTTTGAACTTTGCTCACATGTAGCAAGCTTGAGACGCTTTTGGTAAATGAGGTTTAAGTGTAGGCGAATGAGCTTTGGATTCAAATTAGATGGAGCTATCAATGTGGATGTTTTTTATTGGTTGGACAAAGAGATTAGGATTTAGGAGTTAGAAATTTTGTGTAATTGTTGGGGAGTCGATAACTCTAGCTTAGAGTTTCTGTGCCCAAAGAGCACTTTGTTTGTGGTGGTTTCAAGATAATACTCACATAACTTGTGTATTTTTACTCTTGTCAAACTTTTAGTTGTTTGGCTAGAGTTAATTCGAGTTAGATATGCCTAACTCCTCTGGCCAAGCATGACCAAAGTGCAATTGCAAGTTGGTTGAACCTGGCATCAATTCACTTGATCCAGATAATAGGCCAGTCTTGGTTGACCTAAAATTAAACTGGTTCTTGGATTGCTGTTTTGGTAACTATGTAAATCTCAGTTGGGTTCAACTCGCCTAAACTTAAGTAGATCATGGAGGGAACTGAGGCCCAGAGTCCTATATTTTATTGGCAGATGGTGAAACCTGTGAGGCTGTGGCTTTGATCATGTGGATTATGTTTAGGCTTATGCAGTGCAGATTATCACTTGCATTAGCATTTTTTATTCGCTGTATCTTGTGTTCTTAGACTCACATAGTGGAGTATTTATTTTTCATTTAAAAATTGTGCTTTTTATATTTTTTTTATTTTTTATTTGTTATTATGTACTTATGCGACCTTGAAACGGGAAAATTCTTGTTGACAATGTGATCACCATTTCTTCTTCATTATCATCTTTAATCCATTTCATCAAATGAGGTTGGCTGTTTGGCAGAACTTATTGCTGACATTCTATGGAAGAGGAAAAACTAATTTCCTATTACTAGGTTCATTTTTCTGACTAAGAATGAAGGATTACCAAAGCCAGGAAGTTTATATAATTTATTGGTTCGGTAAGAATTATGCAACCAAGGGAAATCCCAAAATTTTCTCTGAATGAGGATTAAGGTTAGGCAAAGGGGAAAGTGGACATGATTTTGTATGGGAAATGCTATCATCTGTGAGGCATATAATACAGAGATCCATCAAATTCCTATAGAATGGGAGGTTTGTGATTATACAATAACAGGTTGTAGGTCTGCATGAACCTTCTCTGTAGTTGTATGCATTTTGTATTTGCTTCCCCACATTGTCATTTGCTATTGATGGATATGAAACGTGGTTAATTTTGCAGGAAAATGTACACTTCGGATTTTTGTATGGTTGCTGTTTGGTGAAGAATTTTTATGTCTTGCCATGCTTGTTTGAACTGATGACAGTAAGCGGAGCGCAGCCTCCAAACTTGTACTGTTACAATAGAATGCGAGGGGTTTTCAGTATTATTAGCCCATTTCACCTTTTTATGCTTTCGAACCACGACTACACTATTTAGGAGCTTTTTGACACTCTACTCTAGGTAACTTTTGCCTTTTCTGATACAGCATGTCCTCTGATGCTTTTGTGAAGTGATAGGGTCTTCTCGTTCAATACTGTAATGTTCACTTTTCTTGTTATGGATAACTAGCATTGCCTTGTAGATTCAGAGTTAGTTTCTCTAAGTGCCGCCAAAGACGTTATTGTGAAAATGGGGAAGGAATTGAGGAAGGAATTAAAAAAAACGTGAAGAATAAGCAAAACAGGCTCCAACACACCCTGGTGTGGTGTCTGTCATGGGTGTGGCAGAATCTGTCCTGTCTGCCATGGGTGTGGTGTCTGCCACACCCTGCTGGTGTGGCAGAATCTGTCCTGTTTGTCATGAGTATGGTGTGCCACACCAGGGTGTGGCAGATTCGTTTTTAGAATCCCAATCAGTTTGGGATTGTGTTTTGTTATAAATAGAGACATGTTTTTTAGGGTTTCTTTGGCTTTGTTTAAGGCTTTGATTGGATATTGGTTTGGGGATATTGGAGCGCAGAAAAAGGAGAGTTTTTCTGAGCAATTGTTTGAGGGTTTATTTGGAGAGAATTAGAGATTTGTTGATGAGATTATTTTGTTCCTTCGAGTGATTTGTAATCTCAGTTTGTAATCTCTTTCTCTATTAGTGAAAACCCAATCCCCTTCTTACCCCGTGGACGTAGCAACTTGCCAAACCACGTTAAAATTGGTGTTTTGTTTGTGCATTGATTTTGGTTGGTTTTGACACTCTTTGATCGTCGTTTGGTTAGGTTCCTCGACACGGTTTTCAAATAACAATTGGTATTAGAGAACAACAAGTGGTATCAGAGCTCGGGCTACGCTTGAGCTATTTGGAGGAGTAGATCGATTTGGGAAGCTCGTCTAGGGTTTCAGTTGGTGAGAAAGGTGAGATCTTTTTGGTAAAGTTTTTTTCTTTTCTCAGTTTTGGATTTATTCTTCGTTTGTTTCCGTACTGGTTGTTGGTGTGTTGAGGATTATGGCTGAGAAAGAGGGAGTTGAGGGTGGTTCTTCAGGTGTGAAGACTGTCCAAAGTTTGAGTATCCACTCGATGAAGATTAACGTGGAGAAGTTCAATGACACTAATAATTTTAGACTTTTGCGATGTGAAGTCTTGGATGCGTTCAATACGTAGAATTTAGAAGATACATTGGAGTTGAACGGGAAACCGGACGACATTGATGAGAAGGTTTGGAAAAAGATGAATCGGACAGCGTGTGATGTGATTAGGTCTTGTCTCACTCAAGATCTAAAATATGATGTGATGAATGAGACTTTAACTAAGAAGATTTGGGAAGTCCTAGAGAGCAAGTACTTGACGAAGAACGTCGAAAACCGTTTGCATTTGAAGAGGAGACTTTATCGCTTCCAATTGAAGAATGAGACATCCATTAGTGATCACATGAACCACTACACGAAGCTTCTTACAGATTTGATGAATGTAGATGTCATTGTTGAAGATGAGGACAATACGTTGCTATTGTTGAGTTCCTTACCCGACGAGGAATATGAGACGTTTGTCTTTACTCTTATTAATGGGAAGACATCTCTTTCATATAGTGAGGTCACCGCTACATTAGTGAATTACCAACTTAAGAAGAAGGACAAAGAGAATTCTATTAAGTCGGTAGCGGGGGCATTGGTTGCAAGAGCAAAGGGTCCAAACCGAGGTAGAAGGTCACAGTCTAGAGGGGTACATCTTGGAATTCGTAGGAATCAGTATGTTTTTTGTAAAGATGGACATTGGAAAGCTTAATGCCCAAAGTTGAATGATCAAGCCGGGAAGAATAAGGGGAAAGCTATTCAGGCTTCAGAGGTGAATGCTGTTAAAGCTAGTGGCAACAATTCAGATTCGGATTCTTCAGGCTACTCATTATCTGCACTATCGTCAGTTTGTGTTGCATACTTTACAGAGTGGATGTTGGACTCGGGTGCTACATACCACATTTGTCCTAGGAGGGATTGGTTCTCCAGCTTTTAGGAGTTGAAAAGAAGGGATTTCGTGCTCATGGGTAATGATCATGAATGCTCTATTGGTGGTATTGGCACCGTTCGGATTAGGATGAGTGACGGAGTGATTCGGGAGTTGGTTGGAGTGAGGTTCGTTCCTCAGTTGAAGAAGAATATCATTTTACTTGGAGCTTTGGAGGCAGCAGGCTATAGGGTGACTTTGGGGGATGCACGTTTGAATGTTACATTTGGGTCCATGATTGTGATGAAGGGCGTCAGAAGGAGTAACTTATACTATTTGCTTGGGAGCACGGTGATTGATAGAGCGCTGATGACTTCTTTGGCTAAACTGTGACATTGTTTGGTGCTGGGATATATGATTGGTGATGCCGTGCATAGGTTATTGAGGAGTGCTTTGACCTGCAGATAGAAGTCCTTTGAGCACATTGAGATGAGCAAGACCGTGGTGGAGTTACGCACTTCTATCCATCGAGCGAGGGGTCTTTTAGGAGGTGTTCAGTTAGGCATTTGGGGGCCTTCCAAGGAGACATCATTGGGAGATAATCGTTTTGTAGTTTTCACAGTTGGTGATTGTTCTAGGCATTATTGGGTCGCGACCAGTTCCCGTTGGTTTAAAGTCCTAGAAGTCAACAACAATTGGACGAAATGTATTGGCAGAAAGGTAACTCGTTGTTATAGCTTTGGTAGGGTCCTTTCTAGCGTTTGTGCCGAGCTCATGGCAACTTGAAACAGTTCATTGATGTGGAGACTTTAGGGCGACCAGATGAGATGACAGTTTCGATGAGTCGTTCCTTGCTGGAGGAGGATCGACGTTTGATGTCGAGCATTGGTATTGGTGTGCGGGTTTTGACATGTTTGGGTCATCTTCGTCATAGGTCGCCGACTGCTGCATTAGGAGTTATTGGATCTGGTGGAGCTGCTTCAGATTTTGGTTGGCGTCGGATATTTGGTTACCCAACATTTGGTTACATCAAGGATGCGAGATTTGATCCGATTGCGCGTTTGGGATTCGGAGGCTCATTTGATTATCGTTTGGGAGCTTCTGATTTTGTTCTGAGCAGGAATGTCACTTTTGACTCTCGGCAGGTGGAGAGTGTTGATCAGGTCATTTGGATATCGCAGCAGGTGGAGAGTGATGCTACTCCACGTTGGGTGGAGATTACTCCACATACTCCAGATCATACTGCGTCATTTGGGATTCCAGCTGAGATGAATGCAGATGATGAGTTGGATTCGATTGCAGCTGATGGACTTAATTTGGATACGGCCATTGGTTCACCTCAGATGGAGGTGTTTGATTTGTATCAGTTTGGGGCCGCTATCAGTTGCAGATCTGTTGGTGATATTGAGGAAGAGTTGCAGACTTTTCTATTTGATTGAGGGCATTTGGAGGCCATTTGGGCGAACTACGTGAATGCTTGATTCCTTGGGCAAAGAGGATACGTAGGCAGTCAGTTTTGATGCAGCCGATTTGGTGAGTAGACATCGACGTTTGGAGAGTGTTCGCATTTTCATTTGAGTCTCGACTTGTTGTGGTTTGAGTCCGTTATCGTGAAGGATTTCCACGACATCCTGGACGTAACAAGTGGGATATTTGGTTTGGTTGGTGTCGACTCAGTTTTGAAAAAAACTTCGTCGAGGTAGAGAATTGTGAAAACAGCGAAGGAATTGAGAAAAACGTGAAGAATAAGCAAAACAGGCTCCACCACATCCTGGTGTGGTGTCTGCCATGGGTGTGGCAGAATCTGTCCTGTCTGTCATGGGTGTGGTGTCTGTCACATCCTGGTGTGACAGAATCTGTCCTGTTTGTCATGGGTATGGTGTGTGCCACACTAGGTTGTGGCAGACTCGTTTTTAGAATCCCAATCAGTTTGAGATTGTGTTTTGTTATAAATAGAGACACGTCTTTTAGGGTTTCTTTGGTTTTGTTTAGGGCTTTGTTTAAGACTTTGATTGGATATTGGTTTGGGGATATTGGAGCACAGAAAAAGGAGAGTTTTTCTGAGCAATTGTTTGCGGGTTTATTTGGAGAGAATTAGAGATTTGTTGGTGAGATTAGTTTGTTCCTTCGAGTGATTTGTAATCTCAGTTTGTACTCTCTTTCTCTATTAGTAAAAACCCAATCCCCTTCTTGTCCTGTGTAAGTAGGCAACTTGCCGAACCACGTTAAAATTGGTGTTTTGTTTGTGCATTGATTTTGGTTGGTTTTGGCCCTCTTTGATCGGCGTTTGGTTTGGTTCCTCGACACAGTTTTCAATAACTATTGGTATTAGAGAACAACAATTATGTAGTAATATAATGTAATAAACTGCTCATTTGTGTTTCTGGGGTTGTTTGATATTGTATATTGTATATAGTAAAGGATTCTAACTCGTTTTCGTTTACTGTTTGATTTTGCTTCGATATCAGTCTTGATTTGACTTTTGATTTGGAAAATTATGAACTTTGCTACTATGTTGCGTACGTTAGCATTGTGAACTAAGACCTTTTCTTGTGATTTGGTAGTATGATATTATTTATCATGTATTTTATATGAAAATTCATAAACATATTCCTTGATTATCTATCTTGAAAAACTATGTGCGTTGTGCGCCTCACTCGACTTGGGCGCACACAGGCTTGTGGAACGATTAAATCATTTCACATTGTCATTTGATTTTAGGTCATCCTTCTGCGGAGGTTTTTTTTGGGAAAAGTTCATTAGTATGATTGGATTAACAACTACTTTTTTTTTCCGTGTGTTAATTTGTCTTTGACATTAGCTGATTCATGATGATGCTTGCTTAAAGGAGGGTCGTTGTTAGTAATTTTCGTTGTCTATGTTACTAACTAGGGCTTTGCAAACTTTTGCTCCCTGGACGAGTTTATTTAGTTTGTATTTGATTAGAGATATTTCTGTGTTGTGGACAGGTATAAGCCTGACAGCAGAACAGTGGGAGGCCTTCAACAAAGCAGTCCCAAAGATAGAAGAGGCCATTAAGAAGCTGGAAGGGGAGGACTGAGGTCGCCGTTAGATTTTGCCTCCTAGTCTTTTGGGAACCACGATTATGTACTTTTTTTCTTTTTTTTTGTATACTTTTGCTTGGAGAAATTTGTGTTCTGAAAGCAGGAGACCTGGTTACTCTGGTGAAACTTTTGTCCCGTGGCTTCGTAGCTTATGGCTTATGCAACACTTTTGTGCCGTCCATAATATATAAATAGCCTTGTTTGTTTCAAATCTTGTGCTATATTTTGAGCATTTGTTCTGGAATCTGGTGTCTAAACTCATGCATTTATCTGCTAGATTGTAGTGAATACGTAGCACGTACTGCTGCGAGATAGTTGAATCGTTGGTAGTATTGACCATTTTCCAACAAGTTTCCAGTTGAGGTTTCGAAGGTGACTTCAAGCTCAGGTTGTGCGATGAACGGCCGTTACTATCTTGGGTCGATACGAAGCAACTGAATGCAAGTATTTCAAATAATTTTCTGAAGCCATAAAGAAATCGTTGCATTTGAAGCCAGAGCAAAAAAGAGTAATTTTAATGCATCCTCATACTGTGATCTTTGGCTTATTCGATTTGTTGTTGGCGGTCGTTTCATACTTCACTGTCATACTGCGAGAAAAGTAGCACTCTCATAAGTTCTACCTGCCCTATTTTTCAGGAGCCAGATCCGGCTCTGTTTGGCAAAACTAGCTGAAAGCTGCGAGATTATAGCTGAAAGCTGTCAAGCTAGCTGAAAGCTGTGAAATTATAGCTGAAAGCTGATAGTTGTGTAGCTAGTTGATTGACTACTGTTTGGCAAAAGAAGCTGTACAACTAGCTTAAATTTGTTAAATGACTAAAAAGGACATACAATATTATTGATATAAAATTAGAATTATTAGGGGTAAAAACGGAAGAAAAAAATTGACAGCTCCTTCCCAAAGACAAACGCTATTTGAGATAGCTTTCCAAAAGCTACTTGCAAAAGACACAATCTTCAAAATAATCTCCTCCTATTTTTGATCACCAAACAGCTCTACTAGCTTATTGACCAAGTCAATAAGACACAAGCTCTTAGATAAGATACTTTTTTTGGTTGCCAAACAGTGCCTTATTACTCGAGAGTTAATTTGAATTAGCTTCAACGGCCACGTCACTCCAAATACAGGTTCATAATCAGTTAAAAGTTTAAATTTTTTTTTGGCATATTGAATGCGGTATATATTTAGTAACAGTAAGACAAAATTTTGTGACTAACTTGTACAAGTGACAAAGTGACGTTTAACCAACTGTATTGGGTCACTTACCTTTCGTTTGGAGACCTGGGCTTAAAAATACATAACTGAAGATTCATCTGAGTCTTTAGTAGTTTTAATTCACATAGTCAATTCATAACAACAATGTTGTACTAAAATGTCATCTATTTCATACTCCCTTTAAAAGTACGTGTTCAAAAAAATATTTCTATGGTCAATATTATCATTTACTATTTAAATATTTCATTTATATATTAATCTATCCTAATCATAATTATATCATATCATAATCCTACGTGAACTATCTATAGCTTAACAATTTAAAAAATAATATTAATAAAATATATAAAATATCTTTATGGTATTAGTTTGTTAAAATAAAGAAATTACGTAGCTAACATACTATAATATATAATGTATTGCAAAAAAACACTAATTTTTTTTAAAATTGCACAAAATTCCCTAAAAAGTCAAAATTATATAAATCATCCTGACGTCTTAAAACTTAAAACAACAAACATGGAATTAAGAAATTAACAACAGTTTGTGAAGAATTTAAAATTTATAGTTAATACCTCAATGTCTCAAATTTTATAGAAACATCCTCAAAAATTCAAATTACAAACAATCACCCTAAAATTCTAAAATTTCAAAACTTGTAAACAACATAGATGAATTCGAGGGACTACTAAAATTTTCAATTAACACACTCAATGTCCCAAAAATTATAGAAACACCATTAAAAGTTCTAATTATAAAAACCACCCTAAAATTTTTAAAATATTAAAATTTACAAACAACAAAAGACGAATACAAGAGATTACCCTCAGGCACCTAAAAATTTAAAATTTACCGAAATTAACCTCAAAGTTATAAAAGTTATAAAAAAATTCCTTCAAAAATTAAAAATCCAAAAACTCTAAACTTTCAAAATTTATTACCAATATACATAAAATCTGGAAACTATTGGTTGACCGCTGAAATTTAAATTTTAAAAAATTAATCTATAGTTTTAGTAATCGCAAAAGCACCCTCAAAACTTCAGAGTTGCAGAAAATATCTTGAAATTTAAAAATTACTACCAACACATGAAGCATAGAAGTTACAACTACCAAACTTAAAAGAATTTATTTTAAAAATACAACTAAAGTTTTAAAAATTACAAATCACACATTCATAGTTCAAAACCACAAAAAAATGTTGAAAATTTAAAACTCGGCAAAGAAAAGTGTAATTATTTGAAATTTAAAAATTACTACCAACACATGAAGCATAGAAGTTACAACTACCAAACTTAAAAGAATTTATTTTAAAAATACAACTAAAGTTTTAAAAATTACAAATCACACATTCATAGTTCAAAACCACAAAAAAATGTTGAAAATTTAAAACTCGGCAAAGAAAAGTGTAATTAT